CGCAGTTTATGCACTGTGCAGTGTATGTATAGTGTATGCAGTGTGTGTATAGTGCATAAAGTGTGCAGTGTGTGTATAGTGCATATAGTGTATGCAGTGTGTGTATAGTGTGTGTATAGTGTATGCAGTGTGTGTATAGTGTGTGCAGTGTGTATAGTGTATGCAGTGTGCAGTGTGTGTATAGTGTGTGCAGATGCAGTGTGTATGCAGTGTGTGTATAGTGTGTGCAGATGCAGTGTGTATGTAGTGTGTGCAGTGTGTGAATAGTGTGTGTTTAGTGTGTGTTTAGTGTGTGCAGTGGTTGTATAGTGTATGCAGATGCAGTGTATATGCAATGTGTGTATAGTGTGTGCAGATGCAGTGTATTTGCAATGTGTGTATAGTGTGTGCAGTGTATGTATAGTGTGTGCAGATGCAGTGTGTATGCAGTGTGTGTATAGTGTATGCAGTGTGTATAGTGTATGCAGTGTGTGTATAGTGTGCAGTTTTGTGTATAATGTATGCAGTGTGTGTATGGTGTATGCAGTGTGCAGTGTGTATGCAGTGTGCTGTGTGTATGCAGTGTGTGTATAGTGTATGCAGATGCAGTGTATATGCAGTGTGTGTGTAGTGTGTGCAGTGTGTGTATAGTGTGTGCAGATGCAGTGTGTGTATAGTGTATGCAGTGTGTATAATGTATGCAGTGTGTGTATAGTGTATGCAGTGCGCAGTGTTTATGCAGTGTGTATAGTGTATGCAGTGCACAGTGTTTATGCAGTGTGTGTATAGTGTATGCAGTGTGCTGTGTGTATGCAGTGTGTGTATAGTGTATGCAGATGCAGTGTGTGTATAGTGTATGCAGTGTGTGCGTAGTGTGTGCAGTGTGTGTATAATGTATGCAGTGTGTGTATAGTGTATGCAGATGCAGTGTGTATGCAGTGTGTGTATAGTGTGCATATAGTGTGTGCAGTGTGTGTATAGTGTATGCAGATGCAGTGTGTATGTTGTGTGAAATAAGTGCTGCCACTTACCTGCCCGTCCCGTCCTCCTCGACTGGTGGTCCAGTGGCACCGCATAGATGGGCAGTGAAGAGGGGCCCAGAACTCTCCATCCTCGTTTCCCATCCAGCAGCAGCAGGTCCTCTGTTCTCGCGATCCGCAAGAACAGAGGACCTGCTGCTGCTGCTGGATGGGAATGCCGCCCCTGTGAAAGTTCACCCCGGCAACCCCTAGTGAGTGGCACCCAGGGCGGACCGTCCCCGCCGCCCCCCCTTAGTATGCCACTGACCATAGGCACTGCTTCCTAGTCGCCTTGCGCACCGCACCCCTCACAAACATCATCTCTTCACCCACATACCCTCACCTCCACACACATGCATACATATAAACATGCTCCACTCCATTACACACTGACTCTTATATATATATATATATATATATATATATATATATATATACTGCTGCACCTTCCTTATTACAGGCAAGACACCTGAGCAGAAAAATAAAAAAGTTAACTGTTCGTGCTGTATTGTAAAAGAGTACCCAAGGTTTTAAAGTGTACCCTTACAAACACTTAAAACACAATAGTGAAAAAAAGAAGAAAAAAACCAAAGGTACAAAGCAATGTGAATCACCAAAGTGACAAAAAATAATAAATATATACCAACTGGGTATGTAGAAATATTCTGTCTCAGAGATATATCTGAAAATACATAAAAACTATATAGTGTAATATTGTTACTTCTAAATAGAAGCAAAATGGTAGAGAACTCACCACACACATGCATACATATAAACATGCTCCACTCCATTACACACTGACTCTTATTTATATATATATTTGTGTAAGGGGCAAAATAGCCGTATATGGAGTAAGGATCCAGCATAAGCTTAGGATAGTGTAAAGGGAGCAAGTCGGTTGTGGTGTGCCGATACCGACGATACGGTAGGCCTGTAAATAAAGAGGGCCCACCAAGGAGTAAGAAAGTAAAGTAAATGGAAAGAAAAGAGAAAGTGTTGAAATGAGGAGTGGGTGGGAGGGTCATTCTGATGCTGACCTCAAGCGATATGAGTCAGGTAAGGGGTGTCCCTTATATAGGGGAGTGAATTAATTTAAGCCCCTCCCACAAATACAGGCAAAACTGCCTTAATACTTGTGTAAGGGGCAAAATAGCCGTATATGGAGTAAGGATCCAGCATAAGCTTAGGATAGTGTAAAGGGAGCAAGTCGGTTGTGGTGTGCCGATACCGACGATACGGTAGGCCTGTAAATAAAGAGGGCAAAAATGAATAATCAAAGATTTAATACAGTCAACAAATATATACAAATTAACCAGACATTTCCTTAAATGCATTACAGTATTTAATTCCTGAAAGGATTTTGAAGGTAGGAATCTAGGACCGAAAGTGGGCACCATTTGTTGTGGGTAGGATAGTATGTTATCTCTACTGTTGGTGCATGTTGACTCATTTCGGAATGTGGTAGAGCCAATAGGTAATGATATATGTGTTTACGTACGTGGGATCGTTGAAGACAATGATCTGTCTGAGTGGTGGTGATGGTAGTGGATTCTCTGGCCTGAGAAAGGCATAAAAGGCAATGTGCATGGCTGGTAATGGCCGACTTGGTAGTATAATTGAATGGTTGTAGATCTAATAGGTCCGATAAGGATGAACAGTTGGATGGCTATTGGTAATCTCTGAGAGGAACGTGGGGGAATGGATTCCTGAAAACCTCTGAGTATATTCTTTTCTGGTATGATAGCATGAAGTTTATGGTAGTTTTGGCCATAGGTTATCATGTGTTGTTGAATGCCTGTAAAATATATAATTAATGGTGTATGAGATAGTTTAAGTTTAAGGTGGCAAAAATAAGCAAAACTTAGGAGAAATTTTGTGACACAGGTTGAGCTATGTCGTGTTCCAATGAGATTCTTTAAGCCAGGTGAAAAGCTGTGTTATGCGTTCTACAAGTATGGGACGAAAGTGCTAGGTGGGATAGTGCATGCTATGCTGCATGAGTATGTCTAATCCATGATTTTGTCTCTGGAACGAAAGAGTGGACGTGACTGTATGGGCGGCTGTAGGAAGCGTATGATGAACATGCCTGGAATATAAATGAGACAGTTGTCGGCAGGGATGTATACCCCCGTCTGGTACATGAAAGTGAAATGTGATAAGTGGCCAACCAAGTGAGTTCCCCAGAAACATCTTGACCTTATGGATGAGTAGTGGCGTTTGTTGATGATATGATATGTGCTTAGTTGTCTGAGTAACAACGGATTGATGACCCTGACCATGATTTACCCCATGCCACAGCAGCTGCTACAATGGGGTAGATCTCCCAAAGGGGCTGAAGTGGTGGAAAAATTTCCAAACCTGGATGCCATGGCCAACAGCCCCAAAGCAATTGTTCCCGGTAGATCGCTGCCAAACCCGTGGTATACGCTGCGTCTGACCATCTGGTTGGAGAAGTGTCAGACAATCCTGGAAGGAACATGCTTTTACCATGCCAAGTGGTTAAGAAATCCCCCCCCCATGTGCAGGTCTGCTGTTGCTGAGGTGTCTAGGCACCTCCTCTGATCGTCATGTTGGAAGTGTGGAAAAAAAGGGGAAAGTACTCTGGATGTGAAAGCGTGGTCTTGTGGTATGATTGGCATGGCAAAATTAAGGAACCTGGTAGGGATTGTAGTTCCTTGTAGTTGTAAGTACTAAGCAGGAGGTAGTGATTGATTTAGTTGAGAATGTTCCCTATTTGTCTTGTGGTAACTTGCGTGTATGGATGCCGACTCAAGTCATATGCCCAGTAATGTGATGATAGTGTCTGCGCCTTCTGTTTCTTATGAGGTACTGGGACGCCCAAGTGGTCAACCAGACTAAGCTGCCATGAGGCTTCTAGTGAAAAATATGCTTTCTTTGAGCAACAAGAAGTCTTCTAGATAGTGTATGACTGTAATGCCTCTGGATATGTTATCATAACCAGCACAGAGTATCTGCGAATAGCGATAGTAGGTTAATCTGTAGCTCGAAAGTTGAGCAGGGAAAGGATTGCCCAATTTATGCCATGTAAGTGCCAGTGTGTAGGGTAGATGGTAGCTGTTTACTGCGTTGATGATATTGGTCTTACTTAACCAAGCTTTAACCCATGCTTGAGTGATAGCTGTAAAGGTAGATCAATGGTGTTGTATAGTAAGAAGGGAGTTGAGACTTGGGGTAGCGGAGGTGTGTGGTGCCAATAAGTCTATGGTTAGTCTTTGTTTAAGGGAAGATTCCTTGTGACAATACCAATGTGTGTGTTTGGTGCCATGCTGTAAATGGTGGAGATTGGAAGACCACTCTGCAAATCTTGGCTATGAGTGTGTTTTCAGCCAATGGTTTTGTTGTGCTGACTGTAAGTGAGGGCATGCTATATTCCTTGAAGGTGTGTTTATGATACCTGTATGGGAGCCCTTTGAAGCTCCAGAGCTTTAGTAAATCTACTACAAATCTGGAAGGGTGGTGAGTCAGTAGTGTTGAAAATGCATTGGTGTGTACAGATGGTGAGTACGTTATTTGTAAGTTGTATTGGGCCACATGGTTTGTCATGTGCCCTGAACCATTTGAACATATATGCAACAGTCTATATGCAATGCAACTACTCATATCAATCGTCTCTGGTAGTTCAGAGGTGCTGGTACCTGGAGCCTGAGAGTGCTCGTCCATTTGTTTGGGACATATTCCAAATACCAACCCATCCAAGAGATGGTCAGTTCCCGATTTACCTGGAATCCCTGCATCTGACCATCACAGATACATCATCATACATATATATGCCTTGCTTCCCCAATGTGCTGGGATCATACGTGCAGGGTTAACATCTTGTGTGTCTAAGAATTGATTGTACCAGGTAACCGAGTTTCGGTTGGTGCTGGTTGTACAGTAACGTGAGGCCCAGCCTTGTGAGGGCTGTGGTGACCAACTCGAGATTGCCAGTCTGTCATAACATTTTTTGGCTCATGAGTGAGGCTAGCATAGCCTGGGTGTCACCTGAGTTGATGTAGCTGGGCCTTCCCCTGCCTCCGTGTTGTCCGTTGATGTATGGAGGAGTTTGAATAACTCTGCTTTCCTTGCTGTAGCAGGGTAGGGGATTTGTCACTTCCTTAGGTCGGTGGTAATGTGTGGGATCGTCCAGGATCTGATTGCTGCAGGACTAGCAACATCTCCTCTGCTTGAAGGTGTATCAATTCTAGCCGGGGTGCTAGGAAGAGGTGATTCTTCACCATCTTTTGGAGAAATACTTAAATAACAATAAAGATGCAATTATTTGTACCCAGGGTTCTTGTACTGGCTTGCTAGCTAAGCCGTAAGGCGAAACGATTAGGCTTGGTGTTTTTTGGTGACTGGTGAGGCCCTGCTAGTTGCCAAGTGGCTTGAGAGGCTCTATCTATGCTTGGCGCGAGGGGATTTTGTGTGGCCACCGAACGTTGTGGCAGGATGTTGGCCTCTCGGTGACAGTAACCAGAAAATAGGAAGGGGAGTGACAGGTGAGGCCTCTCTATGATACAATGCGAGGCGGCTAGCTCACGAGTGGCCCGAGGGGTGTATGCCTCCGAGTGTGAGGCGGGGTGTTGGCCTCGCGGGACCACTAACCGAAGCATAATGCAGAGAAAAAAGGGGGTAATACCTATTGGGCCCTAGAACCCTAATTGCCAGTACACTATTACTATTCCAGGGAAGGTAAGAGATGGATAACTACGTGAGCAGGTGTATGTACCTGGTAGTATGGTATTGAACCTGACAATCCGTATAGGTTTTTTAGTAGTAACTGTAACCTGAATGGATAAAACCGTATGGCATAAGGAAATATGACATAGACCAAGCTTATCTTAATACGTACAGTATATGTGAAAAGTAAAGTGCCATGATGTGTAAATATTAAACATCGTAGCCATACTAGTTAAATATGTATCAATCTTAACCCATTAAGTGCCGTATGTACAAGTGAAAATGTGGTCTGTCCCCACCTTGTATGTTGTATGTCCCCTTGCTAGGGGAAAGTCTGTTGCGTGAGCAGCGTGCTGTGAAAAATGTATGTGAACTATATTACCAGTTACGTATATACAGACGCGTCTGCTACTGTGTAATAATATATGTATTTATACCTGATGTTGATATAGTGCTTGCTATGTGAATTGTTGTATGTCTTATTGAATGGTAGGGTCAGTGAACATGGTGTTGCAAAATGCAAGTGCACTGGAGATCTGCCGAGTGCCCTATAGGTGGCAGTGTAGTTGGATACTGATTGGTATGTGAAATGTTGTTTGTCTGTTGACCTATAGGTGTCAGTGTTTTGGTGTTTGTAAAACCCCACGAAAATTGTCAATGTACTTGACAGACCTGTAGGTGGCAGTGTTGATAGAACCACTGTTGGTCTTGATGTGAAATGTAAATTATTGTGAATTAAACCTGAATTTGAGCCCGTGCTGGAGTTTCATTTATGGTTTATGGTTATGTTTAACCCCGTAAGGACAAAACTTCTGGAATAAAAGGGAATCATGACACGTCACACGTGTCTTGTGTCCTTAAGGGGTTAAAACAATCTTATGTGTAATTTATATTGGCTGGTAAATTGCATATGACATGTGAAGACAGTTTTGCTGTTGACCAGTAGGGGTCATAAATGCTGATTGTATGGTAAAAATACCCTTTAACCCCTTAAGGACCAAACTTCTGGAATAAAAGGGAATCATGATATGTCACACATGTCATGTGTCCCTAAGGGGTTAATCCTACCGTATGACAGATAGCAGTCAGTATAAAAGTGAAAATGCTGTAGTTAGTTTGCTTGCTTATGAAGTGAAATAAAGTCTGAGAAGACTGTAGTATACCGATACCGATTGACCGGTAGGGGTCAGCATGTAGGCGAAAATGCCGTGGTTCGCTGGTTTGTACATGAAATGCAATAATGTCTGAGAAGCCTGTAGTACACTGAATGACCTGTAGGTGTAAGTGTGTAGGTAAAAATGCAGTGGTTTATTGTTTTGTACACGAAAAGCAATAATGTCTAAGAAGCCTGTAGTACACCGAAT